GCACATCTGGTATTTCAAATTCGATTTAAAGTCGATACATTGAAGAATGAGAAATGTTCCAATAAATCTACGAAACTCTGAAGCTATTGAACTATTTCCTTTAGAATTGCAGAACTCTTTTCTAATAAATGATTTTACGCCCCATGTTTGTGCCTGTTTATCTAGACATATGAATAATAAATTTGTCTGCAGCTGAAAATTCTCAACAAATACTTTAATGGTGTCTCACAAACTCAATGTATTCCGATTGATTGAAGAGAAACCCTGTCAAATTTATGAAAGTTACTCTGAAGACAGGTCATTCCTGCGTTCCTGAATTATATTTTGTTATGTAAATTTTGATTTTAGTCCTACTGCAATGGTCGTCATTAGTAATTTAGTTCATGACATAATACATTTTGATACTGGACTCTAATAAATATATAACGGGTGAATACTTTGTTTAATAAATTATATTAGTGATAATTTTTTTTATCGGTGTTCATTTTCAAATTAAGAGAAGTACCTGGGAGTTAAGAGGTACCTGGTTCATTCTTATCAAAGTTCTCCATTGTCCCGCTCAGTAGTGGCATCTGATAGACTCATTACGATGCACGTCGGGAAGTAGAGAGCTAGTTTAGGGGTGGAAAAAGCTTGCTCAAATAGAATTGAAATTTAGAGAGAAAAAATTCCGATTCGCCCAGCCGGGATTCGAACCCGGGTCTCCCAGTTACGCGCCGGGCACTCTTACCGACTAAGCTACCGGGAACCACGGAAATTCTCACTCCAAATTCAACTCAGCACGCCGCCTAACCACCTTTAGGCATTAAATAAATTCAAATAGAAAAAAGAGAGGAATTATGCAAACAGCTAGGTCGTGCGGTGCAAAAAGTATGCGAGCTGGTAAGTCCTATTGTATATTTGATTCTATTCGTTGTGCGATAATTGTCGACAGTTGAAAGCACCCCTGGAGGGGGAATACCTGAAAACAACCCTACACGGAGAGAGATATTCAGTAAAAATTACGGAACTCACAGTTTGCTTACCGATTACGTAATCGACTCAGAAAATTTAAGTCACCGTATCGAGGGGCTATTCACAATCGTAATCATGGTGTCACTCGCTATTGTAATCAAAGTGTAATCACAGTGAAATCAATGTAATCATTGTAATAACTGAAATCACGGGATTACAATTTTTGTAGTAATTTTTGTAATCAAAATGTAATTAGTGTAATGACTGGAATCAGTGTAATCAGTCAGCCCTTTCCAATGACGCGTGTGAATTGTTATTATTGGAAATCATCACTTGGAGTATCACTCTGACCAACTGTCAACGAAAAATCGCTAGATTATTTTTTGTTTGGAATCCTAGCTGTTCGTGGCTGAAGCTCTGAGATCTCTGTTGTTCGCCCTCACTTTCGCATGCGTCATGTTTCGTTGATTCTTGTTGATTCTCGGTCATCGATACGAAAATTTTCTCTTTCCACAATATTTTCAATTTTTCCTTAAAAAAAACGAACGATTTTTATGACTGACAGTATCCATCGAGTATCATTTTATGAAATTATCCGATGGTAAATATATCTATTCTAATAGATCTCATGGATATATTTCCATTGAACAATACAGAAAAACAGTCTCGCCCCCTTTAATCACCGAAAATGGTGGATTAAAGGTCCAAGATTTCTAGTTTTTTTTTTGTATTCAGAAGAGTTAAAACAAATGTTATATATTTTTTTGAATAATGTACGTTTGTTAATGCCATGTATTTGATGAGATAAAATAATAAAATAATGGAAATATTTGAAGAATAAGTTTTTATTTTAATTAACTCGAAAAAAGTTTATTGAATGATTTAGTAATTAATTAATTGATTTATTTCTTTATTATTGATTGATTTTATTAATTTGAAAATTTATAAATAATTATCTAACTTCAATGATTACAAATGTTCAGTAATCACTTGCGGAATCAATGTAGTCATTTGTAATCATGTAATCACTGTTTTCGGCACTCGTAATCATTTGATAATCATTCAGTGTAATCAGGGCCGTAATCACGTGAAATTGATTACATTTCGTAATCATGTTGTCACTCGATTCGATTGTGAAGGGCCCTTCGCACAGTATCATAATTTTTCACAAGAGATTCAGGTAAAAATTATTGAACACTCTGGAAAAATTCCGTGATTTTAAGTAAAAATTACGTGACAGTTCCGTAAAATTTTCTACAACCACATTGCGCTCCGGAATTGCGGAAAAGATACGTCATTATTATTGAATATTTCCCTTCGTGTAAAGACGCATCACAGCAACACGTTGAAAACCGAAACCAACAGTCTTCACCTAGCGATCTTTTCATCTCCAACCCTTATTCGATTGAGAAATATTTTTCTGAGGGACATCTGATGACATTTCTGATTTGGCTTTTTTTTCATTGCTGTGCATTGTTCAAAAATTTCTACTGTTCAATAAGATCAAACAAAACGTTTCCTTGGCGCAGTTTTTTTACAAAAATATTTGTTTTCGTTTCTTAAGGACATTCTGCAGATTTTGTTTTTTAAACGGCCACATCGTTATTCTCCTGACCTTTTATTTTTGTTTTCTGAAATGGAATGAAAACAATTTTTATTTTTTCCGCTCACGAAACAGGGAGTTCTATTGAATTTCAATCCCATAACTTTTGAGAATTAATTTATGGACCGGACACAATTGAAAAATATCTGTGGAATTTATCATTCATGCACCAAAATCAATTTATAAATTCCAGAACTCCTTCTTTGATGCGTGTGGTTGTATTGTACTGCTATCAACTCCGTAACAAAAAAATGATAGGAGATAATGTGAAATGCGAGAATGTAGAGTCCCCGTCAAATAATTAGAAACTTTACTAAAATCAAGTCGAGAATTACTTGAATCCTTACTTTCTGGTTATATACATTTGACAAAATTAGTTGGATATTACCGTGTGCATCATTGGACCGAATGAATATAGGTTAAGCTATTGGGGACGCTCAATACCGGTGGCGGCGCTGTTATCAGCCGCAACATGGCCGCCTTTCAAGTACAGCTAACGGCGCATTTTTCGAACACATGTCATGTGGGTAGGGAACAGATTCAAACCGGCAAATCCGATAAAATAGTGAAAAATGAAGACAATATTTTTGAGAGACATTTATAAGTACGCTGAGGCTAATGCAGATTCTCGTAATATGATAGAAGGAGAGAGTGTTCTAAAGTCTGGAAATATGTTATTAATTGGACTATGTGAAAAAACCCAGAGTAAATTCGTATTGTACTGCCTGTGCCAGCAGTCGAGTGCAATAAATGACCATCCTCACACAATTGAGGGTGTTCTGAGGGTGAAGGGCACTGACAGTAATATTGTCGACATTGCACAAATGAAATGCAGTTGCAAAGCAGGGTTAGGTGGAAAGTGTAAACACATCGTAGCAGTATTGCTTTACTGTAGCCAGTGAGTGATTCTTTTCATTTTTCTATGATTAAATGCACATTATTTTATATTTTATCTTAATCTCCTGTAACCCCTCCCTCGCAGGCATGATATTTCTAATTTGGAGTTGGTTTCAAGCACTGACATGAAATGCACGTGGAAGAATTTAAAAGGACGAGCTCTAGAACGCTACAAACCCTTGCCTGTATCCACTTTCTGCTGTTACCATAAATCTACCTCATTATCCTTGTCCAGTGAAAAGAAGATGCTTGTATTTGACAGATTGATGTCGTGTGATGATCACAGCATAATTCATCAACATAGATATCGTAATATTGATCCTGACTCCTCTGAACCTACTAATTCGACTCACTGTCAACTAGCACCTGCAACTCCCAATGTCTCCCCAAATTTTGAGTTCATTAAAGCCTTGCTAGCTAATTCTCTGCAGTCTGCAGCTATGATGAATGTATCCAATCTCCCTACCATAATGCAACCGTGCTGCTCGCAAATTTATAACACTATTATAGCTGCTTGTGATATTCTAGATGTTGCAATTACCACCCAATCTAATACAATACTATGGCAAAAAGCAAGACAGTTTCGAGTCACTGGAAGTAGATGTTATGCACTTTTTACATATTCTAAGTTGGATTGGGAGACGAAGACAAGTTCATATTTCTGGCCCAAATCTTTCTCCAATAAATATACTAAGTTTGGAATTCAGAATGAGCCTCGTGCTCGTCAATTGTATAACCTGAAGAGGAATGTAGAAGTTCAACAATTTGGTCTCATCACTTCTCACCAGAATCCCTGGCTTGCTTATAGTCCAGATGGTGTCGTTTTCAGAGCCCACATTCCTTCAATATTAATAGAGATTAAGTGTGTGTATGATTTACCTGATTTCTCCACTGCATCAGTACTCAAATGTTGTAGTAGGTGGTTGCAATTGGTTGGTGATAAGATTTGCTTGAAGGAAAAATGTGGTTCCAATGGACCAGTCCCATGGGGAATGGCCCTGCTCAACTTGCCTGTCTGTCACTTGGTAATTTATTGTAAAAAGCTTGATGATATCAAAATTATTACAGTAACATATAATGAAAAATTTGTATGCAAGCTGCTTCCCAAATTGAAACTTGTTTATTTTTCAAAGATGCTGTATGTATTGTGCAAACACAAACAATTTCAAGACTCGATTAAAAATTTAAAAAATTTATTTTCATTTGTATGCAAAGTTACACTAACAAAAAAAAATGTTTTTCTTCCGTATACCCTCGGGGTCTTTACGGTTTGTTCCCATCCCACCCCCCAACCCCGCTGTGCCGCATTCGCCGAAGGACGAGGGAAAACCTCACCCTGAGGGAAAAACCTGACCAGGCACAGTTGTCTCTTTTTACGAGACTACCGCTCGGCTATTACCGTGAGATTAGAGTTTTAACAAATTTTGGCCCCCCCGGCCGGGAATCGAACCCGGAACCTCTCGCATGTCAACCCCGACACTCTAACCACTTATAAATACACTTATAAAGTTACACTTATAAATTTTATCTTATTTCAGTTGTATTTTCAAATAAATTTATCAAATGCCATGATCGGTGTACCTAAATTAGCCAACCCTGCACATACATTGACAATATCATCAGTACTTGCAATCAAATTCCATGGGATTGTACTCTGAAGTATTCCAAAATCTCGAATTCTTTGATTCATGCGTTCGACGTGAACTCGAGCTGCAGCAATAAAACGATTATAAATAGCTTCGGCTGGAGACAATTGTTTCTTCTGTTTTAAAAATGGTGGTATGAATAATTGAACGCCTCGATTCATACAAAGATCTTCAATTTGAAAGCCCTTATCGGTCATCACAGCATCACCCTTCTCTACTAAATCAATAATATTACTTTGTTGAAATATCGCTTTGTCAGAGGCTCGTCCACCGTAACCTTCGCTCAAAAATGTTAACATGCCTCCTGGACTCACCCCTGTCATGAACTTGGCTGTGAAATTCGATTTGTATTGGGAATAAAATTTTATTCGACACTGTAAACATTTCGGTTTGTGAACTCTAAATTCAGTGCAGTCTACGATTACCCTAGTGTTTTGGAAATGTTGGAAACATTTTGGAATATTCCTCCGAATTTCCTCTCTAGAGACCCATCGAATCGTACATTTAAGTATCTCAGATAATTTTGGCAACATGCTATGGAAAATTCTTCGACAGGTTGGTTCTTCAACACTTTTGAACATAATGGCCAGATCCGAAAATGGTAAATTCAATTTCAATTTCATTGTCGTCAAAATTACGCGATCTTTCAATGTCATCTTGTGAGCCCTAACTTCTGGGTATAACTCAGAGATTAGTGCGACTAATTCGTTTAGAATTGCATGGTTCCGGATACCACACATTACATTCAAGTGACGATCAGTCATTATACACATCGAGAACGGCATCAAGATATCTCCACTTTGAACTTGAACACCTTTCTCTGTACTCTCTAAAGATGTTGTTTGCGTATTTTTATCCTCGAATTCAGATGAAGTTTGGGTGAATTCATCTTGACACTCAAGAGCTGCATGGGATACTGATTTTGTTGTTTGTAGATCTTCAATCGATCTCTCCTCTGCAAAGTCATCGTCCGTCGCAACTGCCGGTGGACGGTCGATGCAGTTTTCTTTTCCACAAGAAACATTTCTAATAATAGTATCCATTCCCTCCGCAATGTCTTCAAATACTCCCAACAGATTTTTCCTCGCATCAATAGTGTCTGTGATCAACGTTTCCACCTGCAAACAAATTTTTACATCGATATTTACAAACAGTTTTCGTATTTGTGGTTCAATTGAACCTAGCTTAGGAAGTCTCCACGTTCCGAGATCGGAATGAGGTTCAACCAAGAGTTGGTTATTCTTTTTTGTAAATTGGATTGTAATTTATTTATGATCTATTGAAAAGTCCTTGAACATTGTAATAATGATCACTTTTACTTTTTAATTATTAATTGTTAATTGAAGGGTCATTTAACATTCTCCTAATGATAATAGGACTATTTTGCAACCCGGTAAAAGTCCCAAAATCAATATAACCATCTTCAGAGCCCTCAAGGGGCCGGCTCTCGACCCAGAGGAAATCCCAGAGATATTTATTTATTTGATAATGAAATTTTTAATTATATTTCATTATAAAATAAATATACAACTTTGGGATTTCCTCTCTGGGTCGAGAGCCGATCCCAAGGGATCGAAGAAGGTTACATTAAGGTTGAGACCTTCTCTGGGCTGGGAGATAATCCTACTATCATTTACACAGCGTTAAATGACTCCTCCATTAATAATGAATAATTAAAAAGTAAAAATCATCATTATTACAGTGTTAAATGTGCCCTTAATAGGGATAGATGGATTAAAATCCAATTTTATAGAAAAAAATTACTGACTCCTGGGATTGATCCACCAGAGCCTCCATCCAACTGTTCAATTATACTTAAATGTGTTTCTTACCAGAACAAAAAATCGAAAATTCAAACCTGAAATTTAGAGGTACTGCCTTCACTTCCAGGAGACTGATAATCGTCCTTTTCCTTATCTCGATGGAATTCAATTTTTGTGGCGGGGCATGTCTCATTGGCCTGTAATCTTTCATCACTTGTTGGCAAATTCCGACTTGGCAATGCATATGAATTCAATGTAATCCGTTTACTTCCAAAATCTACAATCAAATCGATAATGGTTACATGATATGATGTCGATTTAAATTGAGAACAATTCCGTCTTTCGAGCTTTACTCCACTCCGAGAACGAATTTCAGTAAAATACATACCAGGCAACGAGAAATCTTCTCGTGTGAAATGTAAGCTACAAATCCTTGTTGCTGAGTTTACTTTATCAATTTTAGACCTTGATTTCCATTGTTCATAACGATCAATGGTTACTTTTTCACCAGTATCCAATCGTTTCACAAATAATCGATTTCTATTTGGAAGAGCATGGTAACTCAATCCATCACTGTTGGACGATTTGGCCATGCATCCCTTCACATTGCACCTGAACACCTTTTTTCTAGCACTTTTATTCGTAGGATTCCGATCTTTTTCCATTGATGACATAAATATGTAATAAAATATGGAAAAGACACGGAATGGAGCAAAAGTAACCAGCAAATTGGAGTAAACGTATACACGCATATGCTCATGTCAACAGAACCCGTTGGACGGCCATTTTTTGTAGTTGCTGAGGCCCCCACTAGGTATCGTATTCTTATTGAGCGTCCCCAATAGGCTCGGCCCATGAGGGGTCACACCCGCTTCAACCTACTCTCCCCAATAAACCACTCCAATTTTTTATTCATTGGGTTACTATCGACGCATCAAGCAATGTAGATTCTTTAAGTCGATTCTGGTTTCTTTCTGCCGTAAGACGCCTACAACTGTTCTTTTTCTGTATTTCTGTAGGTCGTAGTATTATTGAGGTCGTGGTGATTGGAGTGACAGGAGTTGTTTTTCTCAGTAGTTTAAGGATATCCGAGTATCTTTTATAGTTAGATACAGACCATACTGTGGATTCAACCATTTTCAATCATCAAATTAGTGAATTGCCGACATCGGTGGCCGAGGGGGCTAGACGCAAGTGTAGTGTGTGAAAGGTTGTGAGTTCGATTCCCCGTGAAACTGAATTTTTCAACGGAAGGCTCCGGCGAGTGGGAGGTTGCTAATAGAGTAACCACCTATACCGGTATGGGTCCTGTGGCTTCCCATGTTACTCCTATGTTCTATAAGTGTACGAATACGGTACAGTGTAGAATCCATAGCCGCATGCATAGGATTGAATAAAGTGCCGGAATGAGACCCGAGTAAAATAGCCCGGGGATAGGTAATACAGGAAATGAAACTCGAAAAAGGGGACTCAAAAAGGCCCGGTCAAAAAAAATACTCAATTAAATTACCTGATAAAAATTGGAAAAAAATGATTAATATTCAACGTAATTCAAATTACGTTTTGTATAGAATTATTAGGTTTTTAACCGTTCTTTGTTTGTGAACAAATAATTGAAATTGTTTGAACTTTCGGAAAACTTAATGTTTGAGGCATGAAATTGATTTCTGGTAATAGTATGAATATGAATGAATTTATTACGATGCCAAAGAATTTATTTTGATAGTGGAAAATTGATTGTTTATAAATTATTTATAGCAAATGGTCATAATTTTCAAAAATTGTAATTTTCAAATACTTTAGCAATCTTCCTCCAAAGGTGAATTCTCTATTTTTTAAAATTAATTGTCATTAATAATTATCATCGATTCTGATGGACGGGTCATCTGGTTTGAATACGTTTGGCTTCATCAAATCCAGAACTGTTATGCCTGATCAAGTCTTGATTAAGGACAGCGTTACGTGACTGATCAGGGCATGATCCAGTTATCATATCACTTTCTGATCAATTCTCAGGCCTGACCTGATCCAGTCTTTACTTGGCCCTGACCAAAATTTCTACTCAGGTTCCTGCGTTCGTATTCGATGAAAAATTAATTCAATTTAAATAAATTGCACAAGAATTGTCGATATTCCCGACATGTCACTAACCTACCTGACACCTTTTATTGGCTTAATATGAAACCATGATATTTTCACTGTGAATGCTGCCGGTTCGATGTTACGAATTTCATATACTCATTCCTCAGTATTTGTTTGTACTCATTCCTGTCATAAATTCATAGCAAAAAAATGCAAAAATGAAATGAGAGAAAAAAATTAGCAAGTCGACAACTGGAATTTAATCGCTTTTTTCCCATGCAGTTTTTTTATTCTCTCTAAAAATGGAGAAACAGAAAAAAATTGTCCATTCCTCGTCCCAAAATCCTCTTTCATTTTTTCATCATTCGAGCGGAATATTGTGTTTTATATTTCCTCCCCTTACTCTCTTCTGTTCGTATCGGTGGGTCCGTTTATTTTTCAATATCACATGCATTTCTCTCTATCGAACACAATCGGGAAAGAATTGGATTTCTGGTTCTGCTATTCTTGTCGTCGTCTTCGTCAGTTGGATATCATGGTACTCATCAAATTCTGCTCCATTTTACGTCAGAGGTAGCGAGAGAAAGTTTTACCTCAGTTTTCTCGGCCTTTTCACGATTATCAAGGAGAAAAAAATAGAGGGGCTATTCATATTTGAATTGCGTCACATATTGATTACAAAATATAATCAGTTACACCTAATTACGACCCTAATTATAGTAATCAATAATTTCACTGATTACACAAGTAAAGTGTTACGGAACGTAATTTAGAAAAAAAAACAAGTGGATAGTTAGATTTTTTTTATACGTGAGTATAGTTATTGTTGTTAACGAAATGGGAATTTGCTTCCGAATGGATACTCGTTTTATTCAATTCTCATTTCACTATGCTCTTCTTCAATTTTTTCATGGCATAGTACTATCATCAATTGAAATGTCATCAAATTCTTACGTATTATTTCGTTCTGTCAAATAATTGTACATGCAAACTCTCTCAAGACTAACTCGTTTTCAGTCCGGATTTAATCAGGGTTCAATTAAGGTTTAATCAGTGTATAGCTGGGATTTAATCAGAGTTTATGCAGGATTTAGCCAGAGTTTAATCCAGGCTGTGTCAGAAGTTAGTCGAGACCATGAATCAATATGAATAAGTATTCAACGTAATAGACTGGTACCTGAGCTTAGTAGAGATGGAGATTTTGATATAAAAAGCTCATGACGGTATTTCGTAACTTGATAAGCAATTATGCTGCTCTCACCATTTTCCACTTGATTAAGAAAGTATTGAAATATACTTTTCAAGCACTAATTTAATTGATATGACTGATGATTTTTTCAGTAATCATGGAAAAACTGATTTTCTCTTTCAAATCGTATGGACAATGTGCTGTAACTCAACAACGGATTGTGCGACCCCCATCATTTTTTAATAGAATCAAAAGAGTATTGTTATCGATGTTTTGAGGCATGACTAATTCCATTGACTATTTTTTAAGTGATCGTTGAAAAAATCGATATTTGCAAAAATATCAATTTGTTCGAATCTGTATGAAAGATTAAATTTTAAACTTAATTTTAATTTTTAGATTAGATTTTTTTAGTTTAAAGATTAGATTTTTAGTGTCAATGAACAGGACTTATTAAAGTTCATATGCATGAAAAAAATGATTAAATTCGATTGATCCTTTATGAGAAAATGACGAAAAAAATGAAGAAAAAAGACCATATACATCACCATCTAAAAATCGCATATTCAGACTTTTTAGACCGAATCGATGGATCCTAAACAAAACTACGTAATTCAGAAAACATTTCCTAACTCAACTACAGTTTAATCTCTGTACAAGATACCGCAGGGACTGTAGGGGAATAATATTCCGAGAATTACGTGCTCACCACTGTACTTGCGGTCACAGGAGAAAATGTTTTGATTTGATATTCTTCGTACAAGATACTAGACAATTTCCATTTTTCATGATCATTTGAATACGATTCCTGATATGAAACACGAATGTTTCTTTAGAAAGTATTGTTTTCAAAATGACAATTTAGAAATTCGGCATGAGTTAGTTAGTTAATAGAGGGCAAAATTGCAAGGCAAAATTGAGACTTTCCTTGCAACTTGGGTTTTCATGAAAATTGCGTGGAATTTTGTTTTGTTTTGTCTATCTTCCCATCAAAAAATGGACGTAAAAAATATAGTGCAATACATGTAAGGAAATAAATATTTCATCAAGTTTTATGACCGACGCGTTTAATGTTTTCCGTAACTGCAACGAGTGCCCATTCGTTTTGAAATTCAATAGATGTGGAATTAAGCTCTCTAGATCATAGATGCATATATTTCGAATAATTTCTGCAATATCTCAACTCGATTCCTACTCAATTCTAGCCCTTTTGTAGAGTATCTATTTGTAGAGTATTTTGCAGAAAGTGGGTGTATCACTCGGCACGGATTCAGACCTAGTATCTTGTACTAAAGTATCTTGTACGAATACTGCACTGTATCTCAAGAATATTGACTGAAACTTTGTATCTCAGAAGAGATGACAGAAACCAAGTATCTTATACAAAATTCAAAAATACATAACTCAGTAACTCCGATTAAATACCATCTAATTCGGTAGATGCCTTTCCATTTTTTATTTTAATTTCTCGGATCGAGTTCCTATGATTATTTTTCCCACTCGGATTTTAGCCAATCAGAGCACAGAATTTGAGGCTGTCAAACAGTTTTATTTCGGAAATTTCTAAAAAAATTCCGACAGAAATTCACTAGTAGCTTTTCAAATGTTTCTCATCTTTCAATGCATTTTACGTTTAATACTTTGTGCGACAGATAAACAAAATAGTTATTTTCATCACAAGGTCCACAAAGTATTTTCTGACGAATGTGGCTTTGTAGGCCGAGCCGAAGGCGTGTGATGAATGCAATTTTTCGTCAGAAGGCCCGTAAACCGCGATCAAACTGAGCGAAGCGAGGTTAGAATCGCGGTTTACCGGGTCTTCTCACGAAAAAGTGGGTTATATATGTGGCTGTGTATATGTATCCGGATGCTGTTCACTGCACTTTGCTCAGCCGAAATCCGAGTGGAAAAATAATTCGTTAAATACCACTCGTGCTTCAAAATTAATCGGATATTTTCCTCAAGCTTCCCTGCTTAGGAACGAAACTACCGGAAAATATCCGATCATTTTGAAGCACTAGTGGTATTACTACTGCATATTTTCATATACTTCTTTGTTTTTGTGGAATATTTCATACCGGTCGTCAGTTGTCAGGGAAATCAAACCTCTTATGGCTTTGCGAATATTTAATCAATTTAGTAATCGGTAAATTGTTATCATCACACTTCATTTAACATTAATTTTTCATGTAGTTGGGTGATGAAGGGGTTGAATTATTTTGAAACTACGCATTCATTGTATCTAATTAGTTCTTTGCTATTCTATTCATTAATATCTATGAGGAATTTTCCAATTATCGATATTAGTTTTTCGGCTTTGGCGTTCTGTAAGAGTGGGTAACTAGGGATCAGCTAATTCTGATCCCTAAAAAAGTGATAGGCTTGATTCAAAGAAACCATGAATGATTTCCTCAAGCAACACGAAAAACTCTAACAGTTTGGGAGCAAAGGATTGGCAGCTCTGAATTTTATTCATAGGTTACTAACGA